AGCAGCTGCAATGCACCTACTGTTACTGCAGTAGAGGTGGTAATGCTGTCCTGGGCAGCGCTGGCCACTCTACTACCGCTGGTCACTGGCTCTCACAGGGGACCCGAGCTGGGACCAGGGCATGCTAGTAACACCTAGTCCTCTGGGGGTGGAAGGGAGAAGGGGCCTGATTTGTACTGGTTTGTCGCATTTTCCATTCTCTGTTGTAAACCATTCCCACCATGGCTGATGTCAGGCTATGAAACGGGGCATCGCTGGACCCACAGAGAAGCAATGTGCAGTTGTTTTTAGGGTCTGTCGAACTGTCCCACCTCATGGCGACTCCTTGTACAGCAGAATGGAACATGGTGTCGTCCTCACAATTGTTATGTTGCAGCCACTGTGTTGGGGTCTTTCTCTTTGACATCATGGTTAGGAATTAGACTGCTAACCTCAAGGTCAGCAGTTTGAAACCAACAGCCTCAGGAGAAACACAGGGTTTTTCTTCTCGGGAACTCACAGGGGCAGTTCTACCCTGTCCTATAAGGCCGCTGTGAATCCGTGTTGACTTGAGGCAGTGAGGGCTTTTTATAGAGTGTTTTCACCACAGATTAATAGACATAACTTGAAGATCAGAGGAAATAGTAAAATGTAGCAAACCAATTCGGATATGGGAGTTCGGATTCTAAAATACTGTTGCTTTTAATCTGGTTTATTTAATTGTTTGTATAACTTAGTTTTTACTAATAGGTGTGTTTAACAACTGTTAGCAAAATGCTTTTAAAAAAAATAAGAAAGAAAGAAAAGTTAGCAATCGGCTCTCACAAGCCTGTGGGAGCAGGCTCCGGTATAGACCAGCAGAGAAGGAAGAAAACGTGGATATCATGTGATGGCCAAGAGGTGACGTTCAGAGAGCGCACAGGAAGACCCTCCTGGAGCTAGCTGGGCAGACCTCAGGGACAGCAATGACTGCAGAGTGGAAGAGGGCAAAGGCTGCTTGCCCATCTCCTTCTGATCACACGCAGCAGGGGAGCACCGATTCGGAGCTAGTTCTTCTTTCACTCTGGGACCCTAACCCATTCTGTATTCCCCAGAGAGTAACACAAGATTGAGGGAGCAGTGGGAGGCGAGAAAGGAGGAGGAAGGGGTTGAGGAGCGCAGGAGAGGAGCGGTCCCAGGAGTGTGACCTTGTTGACCTCGTGCCTCTGTCTGAAGTTGCCAGCACCATGGTCTTCCTGCTCTGCCAACAGACCAGGAGCTCCAGTCGAGTCTGAATCTGGATGCTCTCATGGGCGTCAGAGTAGAACTGTGCTCTGTGGGGTCCTCCCTCGTGGGTTTTCCAGAAGTAGACTGATCCCCAGACCTCGCTGCTCCAAAGTGCCTCTTGGTGGGTTCAAACCTCTAGCCTTTCCATTAGCAGCTGAGCATGCCAACCACTTGCACTACCCTCTGCCAATAACCAAACAACAACAAATGCACAGCGACCCCTTAGGACAGGGTTGCACTGCTCCTGTGGAATTCTTAGGCGGTAACTCTTTTCCGGAGTAGACAGTCACATTTTTTCTTCCATGGAGCTGCTGGTGGTTTCGAACCGCTGACTTTGCTGTTAGCAGACCAAGGCATCCAGTGCAAAATGCTTCCATCACAAACAGACCTTCCAGCAGCAAGAGGCACCGTTTACCGTTCCCTGTACTGAAACCAGCAAGAAGGAAAGCATGCCCCCAGCTTGCCTAGAAATACCTGGTTGTATCTGCCATGCCACTCCTCTGCCCATCCCCTGCCTGGGACCCCAGGCTCAGGGAACAGAGGCACCCCACCACACCCCCACCCACACCCCTGTCCCCCGAGGTGGCCGCCTTCTCTGCTTGGCTAGGCTTGGCAGCGCGCGGTTTGGAGAAGGCGCTGCCAAAAGAGTCATTTCAGAGAGCCCAGCGTGCAGCCCCAGCCCGAGAAGAAAGGGGTATGAAATGGATCTGCATGATGTCACAGCATGCGTGCAATGAATTGTTGTCAAAACATCCCGCTGGCTGCATGCATCTCTGATGTAGGAGAACAAGCCTGTCATAACGGTGACAACTTTATTCAACGTTGGTGCAATTACCAAGCCTAAAAATAGGCGTCAGGAGGGAGAGTTTGCATAAGAGGGCTGGGCCCTGTTCCTCCTGTCACCCGCCTGGGACGCTCCTCCCCCGGCGTCCCAGGGAGGAGAGGAGGACGGGAAGCTTCATTGACTGTAGCCATATGCTACCAGCTTGATGGATCGCTGTCAGTGGCACTCTAATTCCTTCTGGGGATGGAGGGAACTAGACATTGCTGAGCGCCCATGACAAGCCAGTTTCCACGCCACAAGCTCCGCGTCCATACTTTAAATCGATGATCACCATACTCCAAAGGAGGTATTATTAGCCCCATTTTACAGATGCGTCTTGGAAAGGTTAAGGAAACACACACACACCAGATTCCTTCTGATTGCAAAGTCACGCCCCTCAGGTGCTTGCTAGGAAATGGGAGTCAGCAGGGCCCCACTCCTGGAATAGTCCCCTCTTCTGTTGCTTCTTCAACCTCCTCCATCCTTTTCTTTTCTTCTTCTTTCTCACCATCTACTGCTCTCTGTCTTGGGTCACCCTCTCAAGATGAAGTCTTGGACATCAGAAAAACCTGGGTTTGACGGATCCTCCCACGCTTGCCCTTTGTGGTCCTTACATAACTTCCTGTCTACTTGATACACAAAATCATAGGGGTGGAGTATCGTGTGTCCATCCAGGTCACAGCCTGATGGTGACTCCTTGTGGGTGTGGCCTTCTCATAAGGAGGAGCCTGGGAACCTCCCCCCACCCTCTGTCTCTCTCTTTAATAAATAATTTTATTGGGGTCGGGGCTCTTAGAGCTCTTATAACAATCCATCCGTCAATGTATCAAGCACATTTGTACCTATGTTGCCACCATCATTTCCAAAACATTTTCTTAATACTTGAGCCCTTGGCATCAACTCCCTCTCTCTGCCTTCACCTCCATGCCAGCCAGCCATGCGGAGACCTGCACCAGCCCTGTGATGCTTCCACCGCCATTGGATCCACAGGACTTCCCACCCATTGGCCTGTGCTCTTCCTATATTCTGCATCATTGCTTGTGGCTGTGTGAGTCTGAGGAGGGATTTATGGATGAGTATCAGGCTTATGGACTAATATTGGACTTATGGACTTGCTCTGCACTGGGATGGGATGTTTTCCTGATCTATAACTACTTCTTGATATAAACCTCTTACACACATATGAGTGTCACTGGATTGGTTTCTCCAGTCAACCTAATGTTGTGATGTGTGCCACTGAGTTGATTCCAGATCGGAGTGATTCAGCAACTCCCCATAAGGCTATCTAGAGTGGATCACCAGGTCCTTCTCCTTTAGAGACAAAGAGTGGGTTTGAACCTTCCACTCTTCTGTTAGCAGTTGAGCGCTTCACCGCTGTGCCACCAGGGTTCCTTCTATGTCCCACTCCTACTTACTAGCGATTGTGACGGACAAGCATTTGCTTGCCCAACGTCAGCTTTAGTATTTCAACTACAACATGAAGGAGGTGGCAATAGTTCTGCCTCATGAGGTGGCTGAAGGATGAAATGAGACAGTACCCAACAGAGGCAAGCATTCCATGGCAGATATTACCATGATTCGCTAGAAAATATGGCATTATTTTTTAAAGTTCCACTAACAGTTGGATACCCAGGTCCTCTGCTCAGGATATTACAGAACAGACCAAGGCAGCAGGAAGTTGGCTTGACCTGGGGGTCTTTACTTCCTTCCCAGATGGGGCCAGTTGACTTCCTTCCTTCAGGGGGCTCCTGCCAAGAAGTGGAGTGAGCACAGAGCAGAGAGTGGAGACGCTAGGAGACGCACCCCATGCCAAACATTACAGAGTGCTCAAGAACAAGCCAATCTGTCTCAGAGAGGTACAGCCAGAATGCTCGTTAGAGGCAAGGATGGAGAGATTTCATCTCACCGACTTTGAACATGTCAGGAGAGACCAGCCCCTAGAGAAGGACATCATGCTTGGTAAGGTGGAAGGGCGGGGAAAGAGAGGAAGCCCCTGGACCAGATGGATGGACACAGGGGCTATCATGATGGGCTCAAACCTAAGAACAACTGTGAGGATGCCACTGGACCGGGTGGTGCTTCCTTCCGTTGTACCTAGGGTCACTATGAGTTGGAACCAACTCAACGGTACCTAACAGCACCAAGAAGATGGACGTGGAGTCCCTGGGTATTGTGAACAATTGAGTGGGATACGAATTTGAACCCACCCAGGCACGCCTTGGAAGAAAGGCCTGGTAATCTACTTCAGAATGGTCCCAGCCTTGAAATCCTATGGAGCGTAGTTCTGCTTGAGACAATGGGGCTTATCAGGAGTCAATGCCAATCAACTCGATGGCAACTGGTTTGTTTTTCTGTTTGATTCTGGTTTTTTAAAAGCAAGAACAAAAACGCCCAAGCAGCTCCATAGGCTCATTGTGAGGGCTGGATGGGGCCCTGGGTAGAAAGTACTTACCACAGTGCCGGCACACAGCATGTGCTCCATATACTTTGGCCATCCCTCTGATTTTTATCATCATGATTATCTTCCCCCAGGAACGGAAAACTGACTGAAACCCTCAGACCACTGGGGTGATTTATAACTTGTGGGAGGAAAATATCTGGATCGTTTTTCTTTTCATAACTTTAAAAGCTACCCACGGGGCCCTGGCAGCTTTTAAAGCTTTTAAAGAACCACCGTAGATAAGAACCTCCCACAATAAAGCAAACCAGAAGCTAAAACCCCAAGGAAAGAAAAGGAAGCCAAGCCTCCCAAGCATTTCCTCTACAGTTCCTCCTTCAAGCCTTCTTTTTTTCTCAACATGTTACCACTCTGGCTTATCAAACCTGGACAGGACCGGAGCCACTGGCCCAGCTTCCAGGTACGAAAAGAAAGAAGTGGGGTTTGTTTCAGTTTCGTAGTGCCGCGATCACAGAAATACCACAAGGAGACGGCTCCAGGGAACAGAATTTTATTTCTCGCAGTTCAGGACGCTAGAAGTCGGAATTCAGGGCACCCGTGACAGGGGGAGGTTTTCTCTCGGCTGGCTCAGAAGGAAAAGGATCTTTGTCTCTGAGGCTCTGCGTGGCCACTGTGAAGCCCCGGCGGGGCTTGGAGACTGGTCTGCCTCCTTACTCTTCCCAAGTGCTGGTCTTCTGCCTGTGCCTGCTTTCTTCTGTGCCCAACCCGCACCTAGTACATCTCCAGGGCGGCTGGTCTACGTTGCTAGGAGGGCCTTCTAGACACATACACGAAATCTGGTTTCCCAGCATGGCAATCGTTACTTCTCCTTTGCACATTTGGATTTCCTAGTTTCATTTCAAAGCCTTTGTATCACTGGCAGCTGCTCTGATGAACCACTCCATCTTTTCAGGAGGAGCCCTCAATCAAATGATTTTTTTTTTAATCCAAAAACAGTCCTATGGTGTGACGCAACAGGGACCACCTACCAGCTCCACTCCGTTGCATCTGCAAGATGGCCAAGGGGCTGGACGTGCTGTCTGTGGACAGGACCTAACAACTTTCCTCAGGATGAAGAAGCTGTCTCTATCAGGGGTGGGGCCAGAGACCAACCAGGTCACTCTGAGGGTAACTCTCCACCCCAACTAACAGGGCCCAACCAGGGGAACGGGTATTGGCCAGAGGGGAAGTCTTCTCCCTAAAATACTTCTTCTAGTTCTCTGGTTTCATACCTTGAGCCTCAGAATAGCATGCATATTTGTTTTCTGTCCAATTTTTAGAAGCAAAATGCTTTTTTGAAAAGAAATCTGCTTTTTCTACCTACCAGTTTACCCAACCATCTGGAGACAAATCCAGCCTGAAGACGGGGCTTAAACGAGACAGCAGTTAGGTGAGACACTCACGTTGTCACTGCATTTTAAACATAGCACATGACGTGTTACACAAACACCATTCATAAACCTGACTCACAGGTTTCTGACGGGAGCCTGGGACAAGTATAAATAGCCTGCGTGTGTCAAACCACAGCAGAGAAGGGAAGTTTGGAGAATGAGGTCAAAATCACTGCACCCAATTTAAGCATAATAAAAATCTCAGCCTCGTCATTATTTACAAGCCCCTAGCATAACTCCCACCCAAAAAGAACATCAAATGGAAAAATCGGAACTAAGCGAAGGAACCCCTGCTGATGCGAACTGTATGGCTGAGGCAGCGTCAGTGAGCACAGGCATCACCGTGGTCTCCTCTCACCGCCTGGCTCTCAGATGCCCACAGCTCAGGGCGGCGGCCCAGTGCAGGGACTTCTGACCTGGGAACTGCGTGGGGATCTCAACATGCAGGTAGTTCTGACGGATCCTGACCGCTTGATCTGCCTAAAATGACTCAGTGACAGCTCGGGGTGGCAACAGAAAACACGCAGGCGTGTGATGAGGAATAAGATCGTGAGCACCCGGCTAACCCTGGAAAGAAATCATGTTCCCTCTGCCTCCAGCCCCCACCACGTCTCACCTCTGTGACTACAGACATATAGCTTATTATCCATCTACAGCCCCCAACCCAGTTCATGATGTCACTGAGCCTGGCTCTCCCCACGCCGAGCGCAATCAGAAACAGCCCTGCAGACTAGGGGCTGGGTGCAGCTGGAGTCACTTTCAGCCAGCCCCCTCTCCCACTCGGGGTGATGGACTTGACTTTGGCTGGAAAGTCTGGGGTCGCCTGCAACATCGCTGAGGTGTTGGTCAAAGGCCCCTGACGCTGAGTCATTCCAATCTGGAACAAGCATCTTCCAGCCCTTGAGCCTCCATCTCACCACCCAGGAGCTCAAGGTGAACTTGCAGGAAGCTGTCCCAGGCCATGGATTCAGGAAGCAGCCAGTCCCACTCAGGAGAGGTTCAGTGGTTCATCGCCACTGCCTCATCCTCGTGCTCAGAAGGGATAGACAACCCAAGTGCAGGCTTAGGAACACAGGGCAACACAGATGCACAGTTAACTCAGCCTCCTGGCCGCGAGCCATCTCATCCGTGATCCAGTCCAACTGCCTGCTGGGTCTCCTTCTCCCTCATCCCCACTCTTGGGGCCCCTCCTCCGGCCACCAGTAGCGGTGCTTGTCTCAGCCGTGGCTTCTCCCATCCCAGTCTCTGATGACACTGTGGCCCTTGAGTTACGAGCTCACTAAGGTGTAGATCATGCTAGAAGCAAAAAGAAGAGAATAAGGCAGCATTAGTGAGCCCCCTCAGAGCATTCCCACTGACCCTCAGAGAAGGAGCCACCCAGATACCTGACACCTCGGCTTCTTTTTCATTTCCCTTCCTTGAGTCTATCACCCACCCCCCCTTCCTGCTGCCCCAACTACTTTTCACAGCATTTGACGGAGCATCTGTGTCCCTTGGAGAGAAGCATGATTGCCTTAAGTGCCTATTGTGCTCATCTGCATGAAATTGTCTTGGTTATTCCTCTTGCCTGCAAGCCCTGGGCGGCTCTCTGGGATGTGGGGGTGTGGCAGGACGGGCATCAGCATCTCCATTCCACCAGCTGCCTCTTGCTTCCACGTTGGCTGTATCCAGGAACCCCCAGATTACACCAGATAATCTGTCAATACCGGGGACATTACAACGGGCACTCTGGCGAGTGTCATGTGGGAACACAGGCCCTCTGGGCACAGAACTCCATGAATTCCTAACTGGGTAACTCCCTGGCCCTCCTGCTTTTAATGGGCTCCAGGATCCAAACAGGGACATATTCTGAGGCAGGGACATACCACTACCAAGGAGGGGGCAGTGCGGGCCAGGGCTCGCAGAGGGGGCGCAGGCTGGTTCTGCAAGACTGAGCATTGCTGTGTCCACTCAGCAGAAAGAACGACAGCTACCTGTTGACGTGATGGAGGGGCAAGATGACCATGTGCACATAAAAAGCCAACAGAAAGGCACTAAAGAGAGAAGCCTGGGAAACATTTCTGAGCAGCTGGAGTTCCATCGTAAGCCCCTGGTCTACCTGGCACTTACAGCCCCTCCCAGGAACTGAGGGGGCTGCCTCTCTGTACCAGGCAACCAGGGGGCTCATGGTCACACACTAATGAGGTCAAGACAGGGAGCCAGGTCCTAACTCCCCAACCAGTGCTCTTTCCATTGGAATACTGAGCCTCATCGCGGATGCTTCTGTTTTCTCCCTTTCATTGGCTCCTTCCTTCAAGTATTTATTGAGCTCCTACTGTATGCCAGGGACCATTCTAGGTGCTGAGCACAGTAGCGAGTGTGCAGCCACACTCCCCACCTTGAGGGAGCGGACAGTGGAGCGGTCACAACTAAAGCAAAGGGCCACATAGACACGACCTGATTTTGTTCAGGGTGCAAGTATCTATTAGTTGTTCCATGACAGTAATTTCTTCCCTGGCTTTTTGAATGAGGATGGAGGTCATATCCCTCAAGCACTGTTTCTATTTTTGTCTTTACAGTAATACGATCTTATCCTTACCACCTGCGTGTGATTTGTTTTTCATTGTTTTCTATTGGGTTTCCCAGCATGAAGCACAGGAGGAGTGGTGCTGTAGGGAATGCTGGGGTGGGGGTGGCGAGAAGGAAGGAAAGAGGATTTGGGGAGTAAACAATGAAGGCGGGAATGGGGAGGGAACACTAGACTAGATCGTGATTGCACAACTCAGCTTACAGGCGATTTAACCATGGCAGGGTGCGGGGGCAAGGCTCTAAGACTGAAGTGGTGGTGACTGTAAAACTCCCCTTGATATGATTGAACGACTGACCTACTCAATTGTGTGATACGTAAGTTATGTGCCAATAAAACTGTTGAAAAACAAAAACATAAAACAAAGGGCTGGCAAGCACCCAGTTGCCAGGCAGACACACTGGTGAAAACAATGAATGAGTGAGGTCTTTGTCTCCCGGGGTTCATACACACATAAATAAAGTAAGTGTGTACTGTAGCTGTCAGCAGCTGCCATGGAGCTGGCTCTGACCCAGCCTGGGCCCAGGCCATTCCCAGGGCTGGGTGGGACCTTTTGTGATCCAAAGTGGTTTAGCTAGCTGCGTTTCAGAAGTAGGCTGTAGGTTTTTCAGGAGTAGATTTTCTTCCTAGTCTGTCTTAATCCAGAAGCTCAGATGAAACCTGTTTCTGCATCACAGTCACACACAAGCCTCAGCTGACTGACTAAAAGTGCATTGCCAGGAATCAAATGCAGGGGGAGGGCTAGGAAGGCTGGCGACAAGAGGGTGGTTCTCCAGCATGAAAGCCAACTTTTCTATCATCAAAGCACCACGGACCTCTGACTGCACAGCATGGTGCTAAGTGCAATGACAGAAATACCCATGAGCAGGGGGCAGGGGTGGCCCAGCAGCTGGGCAGGAGCCTGGAGCTCCTTGGGGTAGCTGATAGGGGCCTGCTTTATGCTCTGCATTTGAAAGGATCTCTGTGCTAAGCAGGCAGCCAGAATTCACATGGACTAACTCTCAGGTCTCCCTATCTGGCTTGGCCCATAAACATCTCCTGGGCCACAGGGCAAACTGAGGAGGTGGGATTCCTCCATGGTTAGTACAGTATTATGTAATAGAGACAGGTAAACTGCCAAGGAAGAGCTAGGACCTTAATCCCTCCCAGGCTCTTAGGAATCTGCCTGTGACCTCAAGCTGGGAAGCACTACTTCCCCTACCTCGCCACCCTGATTCTCAGCTGCTCTACGCATGCCCCTCCAGCACAGTGCTCAGCTCAGCTGCAACCCCTGTGCATGCCCAACCCCTTCTTTCCACACCAGCGTGGCCTGGGCTGGCAGTCATGAGCTTTGAAGGCAGGGAGATCCCAAGGTGGAGAAATGGCATCCGCAAGGAGCCCTAAAGAGCCAAATGGTCAGGTGCAACAAATAATGCTGACGACCCCCTCCAGTTGGCCCCAGGGGCCCCAGTGAGGCTGGGAAGCCATTGTTTTCTGCTTTGTTTTAGCAGCACAATAATGACTGAATTTCACAGACTGGCAGTGCCACATGGAACTGTTGGAGAGAGGACAGTCAACAGAATCGCTGGGAAATAATCGTCACAAATTGATCACACTCCTCCACCAGCTGTCACCAGCACAACACAACACCCGCACCGCCCTCTTCCACCCCCACAGCCAAGCAAGGGGCCATGTTGCTTTCTGCCTGTGCATTTCTTTGTCTTCTTCTCCAAAATGCCTTAGGCACCAACAGTGACCTTCATCAAAAGTGAAATGGGGAAGCAGGTCCCTACAGAAGCCTCCCTCAAGTCTAAGGTGGCTAGAAGCCCCCTAGGCAACTAGGGTAGGAGTCAAGGGAAGCTCTGCCCAGGTCCTCTGGCTCTGGGGATAGGGCACTCAACCTATAGCCCTGCAGCCAGGGCAGTCTGCCGCCCACACGCCAGTGAAGAAACCTACTCTGCACATTCACCCAAGTGCCAATTCCCTACGCCCACGAGCTTTTTGTGTCTCTGTGGGTGTCTCGAGGGAGAAAGAGGAAGCTTCTTACGCCCATAAACAGACACCATCTCAGAAACCCACAGGAGCAGTTCTACCCTGTCCTGTGGGGTCACTATGAGACACACCATCTCGAGGGCGGTGACTCTGGTTCCGGTTGGCTAGGTTTTTCAGTAGTCCCTGGGTGGCGCTCAACCACTGACCTAGAGTCAGGAGGTTCCAGCCACCTAGAGGTACCTCGGAAGAAAAGCCTGGCAACTCACTGCCCAAAAAACCAGCCACAGAAAACCGTATGAAGCATAGTTCCCGTCGTCAGAATGGACGTGGCGGCGGATTACAGGCTTCTAAAGACAGGAGCAGCCTGCGGAAGCTCTCAGGAGTTGGATTCAGACTTGGAGTCTGAGGGACGTGGATGAAACTTTCAGACACCTTGGAGGAAATGTCTCAGCTCACCCTAGGAGGAAGAGGGAAGGGGTTACCAGGGGCCTGGATGGGCCAACCTTGGACTCCAGAAAGCATGTGGTAGAATGACACTGAACCCCCTCAGAGGCCCTCACTTACTCTAGGGGCAGTTATACCGGCAGGATCTCAGAGTCTGTGGACACTGGGGGTGGAAGAGGAGGGGAAGCAGACAGAAACAGATCACCCCACCCCCCACCAGACAGCAGGTGTAGGTTTAGGTGTTCATCCGAATCAATTGAGGATCTCATTTAAAACACAAGCTCCCAGTCAGGGTGCAGTAAGCAATGATGAAACATACCCCTTTCCTCTGGTTCTTTAATGCTTCCTCCCCCACCTCCCACTATCATGGCCCCAGTTCTACCTTACAAATCCAGGTAGACCGGAGCATGCACAAGGGTACAGATAAGAGCTGGAAACACAGGGAGTCCAGGACACATAAGCCCCTCAGGACCAATAATGAAAGTAGTGATACCAGGAGGGGAAGGGGAAGGTGTGGGGGAAAGGGGGAACTGATCACAAGGATCTACATATAACCCCTCCCAGGGGGATGGACAACAGAAAAGTGGTTGAAGGGAGACATCGGTCAGTGTAAGACATAAAAAATAATAATAATTTATAAATTATCAAGGGTTTATGAGGGAGGGATGGTAGGAGGGAGAGAGGGGGAAAATGAGGAGCTGATACCAAGGGCTCAAGTAGAAAGCAAATGTTTTGAGAATGATGAAGGCAACAAATTTACAAATGTGCTTTACACAATTGATGTATGTATGGATTGTGATAAGAGTTGTATGAGCCCCTAATAAAATGATTAAAAAAGCAACAATGTGTAGGTAATGACAACACTCACTTCGTAAAAGGAGCGATACATACAAAGCTCTTCTTAGTTCACAGCCTGACTCTGCTGTATTTTGTTTGTTTTGTTCTTAGTTACTGGCATATAATTCCATATCAAACAAGTCAATTATAGCCCAATCATCTTATGAAGAGTAGTGCAGTCATGACCACAATCAATGTTAGAGCAGTTTCTTCTCGTAGTCATTGGTGTTAGTTGCCTATGTCCCTGCAAACCTCCCTGCCACACCCCTATGAAAGCATTCATCCAGTTACAGTCGCTATAGATTTACCTGTCCTGGATCTCATACACGCAAAATCAGACAAAACAAAAACAAGAAGGAAACAATAACAACAGGACACTAGCACAATGACAAGGCAAAACAGAGAAAAGCCTCTGTCAAAAAGAATGCAGAAAAATGGAAACAATTTTAAAACAGGTCAAAATGGAGATGGAACAAACAGATGCTACATTTTAAAAAATCATTTTATTAGGGGCTCATACAACTCTTATCACAATCCATACACACATCAATTGTATAAAGCGCACCTGTACATTCATTGCCCTCATCAT